AATTTGAAAAGTGTCAAAATTTGAAAGCTGAAGCTGAAACATTGTAAAGTTGAAATATGTAAAGTTGAAAATGGAAGCTGAAGGGTAAAATATTAGACAGCTGAAAAAGTGTCAAAAGTTGAAAGTGTCATAAGTTGAAAGTGGAAGCTGAAATGTGAAACATTAGAAAGTAAAAAGTGTCAAATTAATAGTGGAAGCTGAAAGGTAAAACATTAGAAAGCTAAAATTGTCAAATTTGAAAGTGGAAGCTGAAACGTGAAACTTAAAACAAATGTGACACATTGTAAAGTTGAAAATGTCAATCAATTCGGTTGCTATGGAGGGGTCACAGACATAATATATTGTTATCTGTGTGACTACGAAAAATTAAACCTACCCTCATGTCTCTTGCACTTCGCTAAGCTGAGTTAGAGATATGTCAATTGGGGTGCTATGGTAACACGTCTGGTTGCTATGGAGGGGTCAGTAACATCATATAATGTTCCTTGAGTGACTACAGGTAAGTTACAACAACCCCTGTGTCTCTAGCATTTTCCTAAGCTGAGAAAAAGATGTGCCAACTGGGTTGCTATAGTAACCAGTATTGTTGCTATGGAGGGGTCATTGACATCATATAATGTTTCATGTGTCACTATGAGTGAAACAAGCCAAACCCTGTGTCCCTAGCATTTTTCTAAGCTGAGATAGAGATATGTCAATTTGGTTGCTATGGTAACCATTTGGTTGCTATGGAGGGTTTAGTTACCTCAGTGATTGTTACCGGGGTCACAATTTTTGAAACAAACTCACCCCATGTCTCTAGCACTTTCCTAAGCTGAGGGAGAGATGTGTCAATTGGGTTGCTATGCTAACCAGTATGGTTGCTATGGAGGGGTCATTGGCATAATAGATTGATCCCTGTGTGACTACAAGTAAATTACACCAACCCCCATGTCTCTAGCATTTTCCAAAGCTGAGCTAGAGATGTGTCAATTTGGTTGTAATGGTAACCAGTATGGTTGCTATGAAGGGGTCAGGGACATAATATAATGTTCCTGTGTGATTACAAGTCAATTAAAGCAACTCCTGTGTCTCTAGCATTTTTCTAAGCTGAGATAGAAATGTGTCAATTGGGTTGCTATGGAAACCAGTATGGCAGCTATGGAGGGGTCTGCTACCTCAATTAATGTTTCCGGGGTCGCCATTAGTGAAACAAACTCACCCCCACGTCTCTAGAATTTTCCTAAGCTGAGATAGAGATGTGTCAATTGGGTTACTATGGTAACCAGTATGGTTGCTATGAAGGGGTCAGTGACAATATGTAATGTTCCCTGTTTGACTACAAGTCATTTAGACCAACTCCCATCTCTCTCTCATTTTCCTAGGATGAGATAGAGATGTGTCAATTTGGTTGCTATGGTAACCAGTATGGGTGTTATGGAGGGGTCAGTGACATTATATAATGTTCCCTTTGTGACTACAAGTCAATTAGACCAACTCCTGTGTCTCTAGCATTTTCCTAGGCTGAGATAGGGATTTGCCATATTGGTTGCTATGGTAAATTATTTGGTTGCTATGGAGGGGTAAGTGACATTATATAATGTTCCCTTTCTGACTACAAGTCATTTAAACCAACTCACATGTCTCTCTCATTTTCCTAAGCTGAGATAGAGATGTGTCAATTTGGTTGCTATGGTAACCAGTATGGTTGCTATGGAGGGTCCAGTGACATTATATAATGTTCCCTGTGTTACCACAAGTCATTTAGACCAACTCCCGTGTCTCTAGCTTTTTCCTAGGCTGAGATAAAGATTATCCGGTTTGGTTGCTATGTTAAATAATCTGGTTGCTATGGATGAGTTAGTGACATCATGTTGTAATCTACATTCAACCTAGATCAATATAAAACAACTCCCATGTTTCTAAGATGTTCCACTTAGAAGATATTTGACATTCAAAAATTATGTTGAAAAGTGGGCGTGGCTTGATGAATTAATGTTAAATTATAAGCAATGATTGGCTGGATTAGTTATATGAATCCTTAATGTTGCTATGAATCTCCATTGTGAACCAATTACAAAAGCTCTTTTACAATTGGATCATATGGGAATCATTTGCCCCATTGAGATGAATGGCAGCAATGCATCTCTATGGTTGTTAAAACTGGGCGTGGCTTGATGAATTTATGTTAAATCATAGGCAATGATTGGCTGGATTAGTTATATGTATCCTTAATGTTGCTTTGAATCTCCATTGTGAACCAATTACAAAAGCTCCTTTACAATTGGATCATATGGGAATCAATTGCCCCATTGAAATGAATGGCAGCAATGCATCTCTATGGCCCATTGTGTGTCTATGGGAAGGCTAAGCCAATCAAATTTCGTTATTCAAATTAGTTGATTAACAGCTGCCTCCAACTGCCACTTTTTTGAATCGAGGAGACATTTCTCAGATGTTGACCATGCCTCAAACAAATAAACATTACAGAAGAATCGTAAGACATATCGAGATGATTCTTTCTTTGTGAGAAGCAGAAGGCCTCAATGAAGATTATGGTGTAAAAAAATTTTAAGATATGTGGAAAATTCTATTAGTTATGGCGAGTTAGAAAAAGCCTAAATTTAAAACTTTCAAGCATTATTTTCTGGGTGAAATGCATTGATCTTAATGGAGCAATTTGCTTCCCTCGTTAAGGTTTAGCCCTCCTAGTTTAAAAACCGTGGGTCATATGAAAAAAACAACTGCATCTTTGGAAAGAGGACAAATTTCTCTACTACTTTAATATAAATTTTATGCATAAAGGGTAAAGTGTAGTTTAGGAGAGAGGAATAAATGAAGAAGTTTGAGATGTGAAAAATTAGAGTGTAAGCTAGAGTGGAGCAGAATTAGGTAAAAATCAAAATTCTTTATTAAACTTAAACTGCGATTTATTAAAATCTGTAAAAGATATGTAAAAGCTGAAAAGAGTTTTTAAAAGCTGAAAATGTGTTGAATTGTTTAAAATTTGAATGATTGCTCTAGCTAAAAGTATGCTGAAGTTATGAAGGTTGAAAAAAGCTGAAGATTGAAAGAGATTTGAAGAGTCTCCCCATTCATTTCAATGGGAAAAATATTTTAAATAAAGTTAAATTTAATAAAAAGTATAAAAGATATCAAAAAGCTGTATACGAGCAACATAGAGCAAAAAAAGCTGAACGTTTTGATGTTTGAATGGTGTTTCTAGGGCAAAGTATGCTGAAGTAGTAGGCTCCGGAAAAAGGGGGGGGAATAAGAATAATAACTAGAAAGTGCATTTCCTAGCGGAAAATGCGTGTGAATGCAGAGAGCTGAAAGAGAATGCCTAAAATCGCTGAATTCCTTGGCTAAACCGTGAAACATTAGAAAGTTAAAAGTGTCAAAAGTTGAAAGCTGAAGCTGAAGCGTTGTAAAGTTGAAATATAAAAAGTTGAAAGTGGAAGCTGAAGGTTGAAACATTAGAAAGTTGAAAGTGTTGAAAATAAAAAAGTGTGAGCTGAAAGGTAAAACATTAGAAAGTTAAAGTGTCAAAAGTTGAAAGTTGAAGCTAAAAGGTGAAACATACAGTTGAAAATGTCAAAAGTTGAAAGCTGAAGCTGAAACATTGTAAAGTTGAAATATGTAAAGTTGAAAGTGGAAGCTGAAGGGTAAAATATTAGACAGCTGAAAAAGTGTCAAAAGTTGAAAGTGTCATAAGTTGAAAGTGGAAGCTGAAATGTGAAACATTAGAAAGTAACAAGTGTCAAATTAATAGTGGAAGCTGAAAGGTAAAACATTAGAAAGTTAAAATTGTCAAATTTGAAAGTGGAAGCTAAAACGTGAAACTTAAAAACAAATGTGACACATTGTAAAGTTGAAAATGTCAATCAATTCGGTTGCTATGGTAATAAGTAGGGTTTCTATGGAGGGGTCACAGACTTAATATATTGTTATCTGTGTGACTACGAAAAATTAAACCTACCCTAATGTCTCTTGCACTTCGTTAAGCTGAGTTAGAGATGTGTCAATTGGGTTGCTATGGTAACACGTCTGGTTGCTATGGAGGGGTCAGTAACATCATATAATGTTCTTTGAGTGACTACAGGTAAATTACAACAACCCCTGTGTCTCTAGCATTTTCCTAAGCTGAGAAAAAGATGTGCCAACTGGGTTGCTATGGTAACCAGTATTGTTGCTATGGAGGGGTCATTGACATCATATAATGTTTCATGTGTCACTATGAGTGAAACAAACCAAACCCTGTGTCCCTAGCATTTTTCTAAGCTGAG